CCGATCTGGCGCGACTCGGATAAAGACTGGCTAGTCACAAGTCGGGAATTGATCTGGCGTGACTAGGATAAAGACTGGGCCTGTGGGCTAAGGGTCTGCACTCGAGCTCAGGTTGGACTAGCGAGTCGCAAGTCGGAGGATTGATCTGGCACGACTCGGATAAAGACTGGCTAGTCGCAAGTCGGGAATCGATCTGGTGCAACTAGGATGAAGACTAGGCCTATGGGCCGAGGGTCTGCACTCGGGCTCAGGCTAGACTAGCGAGTCACAAGTCGGAGGACTGATCTGGCATGACTCGGATAAAGACTGGCTAGTCGCAAGTCGGGAATCGATCTAGCGTGACTAGGATGAAGACTGGGGGGCATCGTTGGGTGGCGTGCTGGGGTTTGCCCGGGTGCCACCATGCCACATGGCGCGCTTGGTGGAGCGGCGCAAGGACTGGGGGGAAACTTCTTGTTACAAATGGCTTCTGGCGGGAGATTTCGGGTAACGAGACGCCTCTAGCGAGAGCTCCGAGATCGATGAATCTGGAGAATCCGAGGAGTTATGATGGGTTTTAAATGCTACAACTATCTCTCTCCTCGGGAAGCCCAATCGTCGTCTCGTAGTGGATTAGCCTGCTCATTATAAGCTTCTTCCAAAATAGTTGCCATCATTTTTTGCTCAACCCTTCCTCTAGCATCAAAAATATTGGTAAACTGATGTGTGGCTGGTGAGTCAGCATGGCCTGGTCCACGGGTTGATATCGGGAGTCTTTGGTCGGCTGAGCTGGTTGCCGTGGTCGGTCGAGCCCTTGCGATGGGGTGTCAACGCTGGGGTGTTGATCAGCGTCTCTCGATCCGGACGCCGGTTAGTGGCTCACCGTCTGGACACTAGTCGACGACTCCAAGGTCGGAACGCTTGTGGCTTGAGGGTGGCTGCTTTCCTGCAAGAATGACCTTCGTCGGGTGATTGCCACTGTGGCCCCTTCGATGAGCAAGTCAGCAGTGTGTTGATCTGCTCTTTGCCCTCTCCCTGGGCCGGATGCCAACCCCAGGTTTTTATACTATTATATGAGGGTCAGTTGTATGCGGGTTTGATGTGGTGATCGATCCTTGAGAGGTGAGATGGTACCTTCGTGCGGTCATCGTCCCGATCTTTCCGGGACGGGACGTACCGAGCAACGCTTTGATACAGATTCTAGCTCAGCACGTGGGGGTGCTTCTCTACATGACTGTAGCGTTGTATGGCATCAATCGTGATGAGGCTTGGACCCAAAATATATCTTATCAACCTGCATCATTTGAGCCATAAAAAAGAAGAAGAAGAAATCATACAAAATCATCGTCACAAGAGATCGAACAATACCATAAAGGAAACATTTACCACCCACCACCATGTCAAACATTTATAGGTGAATTAATCATTCACGCCAACCTCATGCACGAGAAATTTTCTTTCCTGATCCAGAGAAAAACAAGTATTATCACAAAGGACCGGAAACACATGCTATAACTCTCCATCTATTTTGATCGATCCCAGATATAAAATTATTATTATTATTATTATTTTGTTAGGATGGATTCCCTTTGAGTAGTTTTTTTCCCCTTCATTTTTTTATCCGGCAAAAGAAATCCAAGAAATTTTTAATTAGATGGACTCACTCAATCTACGATTTTAGGCAAGTCCAAAGCAATAATGTATTTTATCTAGTTAATATCATTTTTAAAATATAAAAAAATATAATAAAAAAAAAGAAAACAAAAAGAATCAGATTGGGAGTCTGACAAAATTCCCCACCGGGGATTTAATTGGAATGACGCCATGTGACATGATCCGATCGCCAGCCTGTCGCCTTGCTGGACCTGCCAGCTGTCTGCCTCCTCGTAATTATGCTCCCAAACACTGTATTAACTCTCCTTCATCCCAATTAATTAAGCTCACCATAAATAAGATTAGGACCACTCTCCCACTCGATGTCTTCGGTTAGTTCCCAAGTGGAATCTCGGTACTTGAGGATGGCCTCATCCGCTGTCATCGACGGCATGTGATCCTTTGCAGGGTTTGTGGCCAGAGAGTACCACTACTCTCTGGCCAAGGAACAGGACAGCTTTGTGGACATCGCTGCCATTGTCGGAGCTGCGAATTCAGTGATGGAGTTATTGCAGCGATCTCATCGAGATGTCGCTCCTGGATTTGATCGAGCCTCGGTAGCGTTCCGATCGACGTGCCCAACGAATGCGACCATGACCCGACACCGTCTTCCTTTTTCTAACATCCGACATGGCGTTCTCTTTTCACCTACCGTCGCCCTGGGCGGGTTTATCCTTTTGTTTTCTCGCCGATAGGGGTAGTTTTGTCATCTAGTAATTTATCTCACATAATTTTCCCTTGCATCAAGATCACAGCCGTCGATCCGACGGATGTGACGGCCGTATTGAAAGAGGAGTTGATTAAGATGGCCCCATGTCATCATCGCCCGTCGGCGTAAATACCGGTTTTGCCCTCCGCCGCTGCGTCAAATCCCTGTTCTATGCCCTCCGACGATATATATTCTTTGTCCTCGAGGTTCCCGACTTCTATGGTCTCGGCTGGAATTCTGGAGCTCAGATTTCCCACTCTCCGTCGTCTCCCCCGTCCGAAGATTTCTGTCGAGGAGTTGGAAATCTGCTGACGCTTCTCTGATGTCGGAAATTTAGGGTAAGATCTTCCCTTGCAGTCTTTTATTGTTTTCTTGTTTCCTTCCCCCGTTTTGGATCTTTGGAACTGACGAGTTTGTTCCTGTATTCTTGTGCGCGGCAGATTCATTAGAAATTTAGCTGGCCCCATATTGAAAAATGGCTTCTTTGTGGTCTTTTTTCCTACTGTTGTTCAATTTTCATTCTAGCCGTTTAGGTCGATGCAGTGAGATCCAGGAGGAATTTGATTTTTTATGAATGAGGTTTTAGGGATTGGACCGATCTAAGGAAAAAAGTTGCCCCTTTTCTGCTGCTCTTTTGTATGCTGATCTTTTTTTTTATTCGAAGCTTCCCACTGTTCCATTTGTTCATGAATCGAAAATTAATTTGGAGTTGTTTCTCCTGTGGCCGAAAGGCGAGGACCCTAAGCTTTTGATTTTTTTTTTTTGGTTGTTTCTTTGTTTATCCGATATCAGTGATCGTGTTTGTTTGGATCTTGGTCGTTTTGCCCTTCGTTGAATTCATCTCATCATTTATTGCAACTCCGAGTTGGTAATTGATTGAGCACGAGATGAAATGTTGCTTTCTTTGTTTTCATGATTGCGTTATATGTTCTCTAAAGAAAGATCGAATCTTTTGTCTTCTGTGATTGCAAATATTTGCAGAGTTTCCAGTTATATTTTCATGATTTTGTACATGCTTCTGGTTGTCCTCTAAAGGAAGATTGGATCTTTTTTGTTCTTGGAAATATTTGCAGAGCTTCCTGTTGTTGGACCCGGTTCCTCCCCTGGTCTGGTCAATTTCTGCTTCCGTGATCATGCCGGGAATCCCAAGGGATGGAATCGTTGTGAACGAGGCTTCTCATGAGTTGAATTCTTCTAACGTCAAAGAGAATTTGTCCACCCAAAAATCTCCGGATGCTTCTCCGAGCCGAAAGACTGCTCCAGGTGAGGCTGCCAATGTGCCCGTTGAGACTTCTAATGAGCCGTCAATTGAGCAACTTTATGATAATGTATGTGAGATGGAAAGCTCTAGTGACGGGTCACGGTCCCGGCACAGCTTTGGTTCTGATGGAGAGGAGTCGAGGATTGATTCGGAGCTGCGCCATCTAGTAGGTGCAGAGATGGAAGCTATCCGAGTGATAGAAGAAGAGGAGGATGGCACCAATGTGGGAGAAGAAATACAAAATGGTTCTGATGGTAAGAAACAAGAGGATACCGTGAAGGTTCATTCTCCAAATGTGTCCTCTGGATCATCTAAGAAGTCGAGAAGGCCTATGCAGTTACAGTTGGAAACCAGTATATCCGTGAAATCTGACACAAAGAATGGAAGATCCCCTGACAAAGATAATGAGAATGAAGTGACGGCTAATGTTGGAGTTGGCCTTGCAAAGAAAATAAATAATCGTTCGAAGGGAGATGCAAAGTCGCATAATGGAACCGCGGACCCATCTGACACAGGTTTAGACAACCCTGATCTAGGGCCTTTCCTCCTTAAGCATGCAAGAGATTTAATTGCTTCTGACAACCCAAGAAGAGCCCTGAGGTATGCCCTCCGAGCAGCCAGGGCATTTGAGAAATGTGCTGGTCAGAAGCCAAACTTGGACTTGGTCATGAGCTTGCATGTTATAGCAGCAATCTATTGCAAGTTAGGAAAGTTTGGGGAGGCTGTTCCTGTTCTTCAAAAGTCTATTGAAATTCCAGTCCTTGAAGAAGGCCAAGAGCATGCCCTTGCTAAATTTTCTGGTTATATGCAACTGGGCGACATTCATGCCATGCTGGGTCAGCTAGAGAGTTCGATACAATGCTACACCACGGGGCTACAAATTCAGAAGCAGACATTGGGAGATATGGATCCTCGGGTTGGTGAAACTTGCCGTTATTTGGCTGAAGCTCATATTCAAGCACTGCAATTTGATGAGGCAGAGAAGTTGTGCCAGATGGCTCTCGACATCCATAGTGAAGGCGGCGAAGCAGCCTCTCTAGAAGAAACAGCAGATAGGAGACTCATGGGTCTCATCTGTGACACCAAGGGCAACCGTGAAGTGGCTCTTGAGCATCTAGTGTCAGCAAGCGTGGCTATGGTAGCTAATGGCCAGGAAACAGAGGTGGCTTCGGTCGACTGCAGCATAGGAGATATCTATCTCTCACTGGGTCGATATGATGAGGCTGTCTTTGCGTATCAGAAAGCACTGGTTGTCTTTAAAACCACAAAAGGAGCTAACCACACCACTATTGCCTCTGTCTTTGTGCGACTTGCTGATCTGTACAATAAAATAGGAAAGTTTAAGGAATCTAAGTCTTACTGTGAAAATGCTCTCCGCATTTATGGAAAGCCTATTCCAGGGACCTCTTCAGAGGAGATTGCCGCCGGACTGACGGATGTGTCTGCCATATATGAGTCAATGAATGAGCATGAGCAGGCACTCAAGTTACTTCAGAAGGCCTTGAAGATGTATAATAGTTCTTCTGGTCAACAAAGCACGATTGCTGGAATTGAGGCACAGATTGGTGTACTATACTATATCTTAGGGAATTATGGGGAGTCTTATGCTTCCTTTAAGAGTGCAATAGCTAAGTTTCGTGCTTGTGGGGAGAAGAAGTCTGCTTTCTTTGGAATCGCTTTAAACCAGATGGGCCTAGCTTGTGTACAGAGGTATGCATTAAATGAGGCATCAGAATTGTTTGAGGAAGCAAAGAGCATTCTTGAGCAAGTATGTGGACCATATCATTCTGAGACACTTGGAGTTTATGGCAATCTTGCTGGAACCTATGACGCAATGGGAAGGTAGTCTCTCTTTAATGATCGTGGTTTTTGTATGTTCTTTGGCTCTTCTCATCTTATTTTCATATTTTAGGAACAGAGTGTTTGTATATTAGTTTTTTTTGTTCTTAAAATATGAATCGAAGATGATAAAATCTTTGAATGTTAACATCTCTTTCCCCCTTTGCTGATTTTTTTCAAAGTCTAGAGGAACTCTAACGTCCATGGTTGTGTTATGTCAATCATAGTTGATATAGATCATAAATGACAAAAAAAATGATATTTTGTTCTTACATGTTGAATGTCGTTATCCTGATACTTGAAGGCTATTGGGTACACTTTGCCTACTAACTGAGAATTTTGGGTATCAAAACAGATCATAAAACGTTTTTGGTATCATTCAGGTGAAAATTTGATGGGAAAAAATTATTAACGACGATTTTATCTGAGAAGAGTCAAAAGTCATGATATACAATGTTAAACAAAAATAATCATGGACATCTATTAATTTGCTTCTACATGATTCCTAAAGTTAAATCTTAAATTATAATCACTAGTTACTAGGATTGTGTTATATTTGTTCTCTCATCACTTTAATTGGTTTATTTTTCAGTCAAATAATGTGATAGAACAATGGACTTTGTTTATAAATAAAACTCTGGCTTGATCCTTTGACTTCTACATACATGCATGTGCTCTGCAGCCTTTTGGAAATGTATTAACTTTCATTATCATGTTCATGCATTGTTACAAATGGCCATCTGGTCCACATAAAAGCCTGTGTAAAAGTGAATCAGTTCTTGATATACCGATCGTCTAAAAAGGTGGAAGCAGTATTTTGAACCAATAATATTGTGGTGGGTATAGCTAAGTTTGTACCAGTGGAGAAAGATGTAGGGAGTGATTTACTAATTCTGTAAGACGTTTTGCACATAATTTCTGGGCAGGAATGACTAGCGACTCTTGTTGCCCATGTGATTTCAAATCATATCAATTCCTATGAAGAACTTTTCAATAATCACTTAAACCTTGATAGTTTAATGCATTGCCTTCCCTTAAAAAATACATGTTGCTGATTGTACATCTTGTTGGTTGATTATTCCCTCAATGCAGGTTGGATGAAGCCATTGAGATCTTGGAATACATTGTCGGACTCAGGGAGGAAAAGCTTGGAACAGCTAACCCGGACGTAGACGATGAGAAGAGGAGGCTGGCCGAGTTGCTGAAGGAAGCCGGGAGAGTCAGGAACAGGAAAGCCAGGTCACTGGAAACTCTCCTTGACACCAATCCACGCGTTGTAAAGAAAGATGCCACTCTGCATGAAGCATGATGTATATTTCCAGAATTAACTGTTGATGCACTGATTCTTTTTAATACTCTCTATTCTTGTACTCCAGAGGACAGAGGGCTGTGTGATTGCAAGATTCTGTTGTATATGTGTCATTATAATGGTTACTCGATCGGTTCTTTTGATCTTTTAGATAATCAAATGAATTTTCATCTGAATTCTACATGCTAGTACTTGAGATTATGCTTCATATCATACTTTAAGCCCAATTATGGATCATAGGAACTAACTTTATTGCATTGTTAACCATAAATGAAAAGAAAATAGAGAATTAAGTGTATTCGGGGCACTCCTAGAGGAATTCTACACCTTGAACACCATGATGGTGAAATATAAGAACTGTGGGACAGGTTAATGAGCTGTAGGGTTGCCTGAATGATAAGTTTCTAATGGTATAAATAGGGTGTCTCAGGATTAGTTTAGTTGGCTGAAAGCTGAGATTGGACAAAGAACAAGTCATACATCACAAAGATATCCATTAGACTGATCATTTACGCTACATGAAACAAACTATGGTACATAAAACGTCGCTATGTGCTAAAACAAACTAGAAAAGAGAACTTGAAAGATTCTTCGGAACGATGTTATAATTTGAAATAGTTCTCAATGCTTATGATGGTAACATTCAAGACACAGAGAGCAAGTAAGTGCAAAGTGCATGTACATCAAAACCCTGTTGTTTAAGTTTAGGGTCTACTCTTCTATATGACACCAAAAGACTAGAAACTGAAGTTACTTTCAATTCTGTATTAAAAGGAATGCACAATGTTACAGGAGTATTTCCCAGTATCAAACTTTCATGTGCCAGAGACATTTTAGGCTTGAGATTGAAGATATAGACTTAAACCTATCAACCTTTGGTTTTAAATGAATTTCAATCGACTTAGCTCTCGTACGATACTTGCATTAGCATGCCAAAGACGGGATTGAGATTTTATCATCGTGGTGCACCTGCTGCTAGTTTATGTGCCTGTTGTGAGCTCCACGTCAACTTCAATGAAGTCGGAAATATTATTGTTGGCTTCCTCTTACTCTCCTCCAAGAAAGGGAAGTCCTCTATGTAATGTAGTCCACGGCTTTCTTGCCTTGCAAGAGCGCTGCTCACGACAAGCTTAGCACAACAGAAAAGATTCTTCATCTCACATGCTTGCAGGCCAACCATCATCGGTTTCCACTCTCTCCGGAACAAAAACTCCTCCCATTCTGCCTCCAACTCTCCAATCTTCCACTCTGCAGTCTTCAATCGGCTTGTAGAACGTACTATACCTACATACTCCCACATTATAGATTGTAGCTCGACCCTTGTTGTTTTTGTCCTGAACAAAATCTCCTGCATTGTGTGGCTTTCAAGGGATGTGGGAAGCACCGGACGAGTCCACATGGTTGAAGCATGAATGCCAAGGCTTGATCTGGTCATGTGGTCTATCGACGGTTGCACTGCACGTCGAGCAAACACCAGTGCTTCAAGCAACGAGTTGCTTGCAAGGCGATTAGCCCCGTGCAAACCCGTGCATGCAACCTCACCGGCCACATATAATCCTTTCACATTTGTCTCCCCTTGTAGTCCTGCACGGATACCACCACACATGTAATGAGCAGCTGGAACAACCGGTATGGGTGAGCTTGTTATGTCCAGTCCATATCTGAGACACTCTGCTGCGATATTGGGGAAGTGTGCAAGTATTTGTTCTCTTGGCTTATGGCTTATGTCCAGTAGAACATACTTCTCTCCTCGTTTTTTCAGTTGATCATCTATGCTTCTTGCAACTACATCCCTTGGAGCTAGCTCTGCTCGTTCATCGTACAATGGCATAAATCTCTGCATTGACTGATTATAGAGGATGCCACCATCTCCTCTGACTGCTTCTGTGATCAGAAAAGCATTATCTCGTCTGTTAGTTGGCTTAATTGGGAGGCCTTCATCAGCTAAGGCTGTGGGGTGGAACTGCACAAATCTTGATGATGGAAAAAATGTCAATGCATTAAGTTAACAAAGACAATTTATTCATTAAAGAATATAAATATTCTTCAATATTGCACACTATGTGAGAATGCTCAAGAGAAGGCATCTGACAGTTAAGATTCTATTTGGATGAGAGACAAGCTTGTCAAAAAAAAAAAAAGCAGTATCTCCACGACGAAAAAAGTTCTTCAGAGTTCAGAGCACTTAATAAAGGAAACAAGAAACAGAAAGTTATTGGAGCGCTTAGTCAGATAATTAGGCTTTCTCTGCCAAGAGATACTTACTCCATGTTTGAAATAACAGCCTGAGCACGGCGGGCCATTGCAACTCCATCTCCTGTAGCTACCTGCAGGCATGTGAAACTCAAATTAGAGGAACACCACAACCATTGTTCTCATGTTCGCCTTGCAATAAAAAAAAAATCTCCCTGAATAAGAAATTAATTCAACAATAGATTGCCCTAGATTCAAATTTTCTTCATTTGTTTTAATAAAAATCCTAATATACATTTACAAAGGATTAGGAAACTTCTGTATCATTAGCATGAAAATCAAAGGCCAACATTCAGCAACTCATACTTCCAAGGTTAGACGGTACTTACTAGTGGATTGGTTGTTGTCGGGTATATATGTCCAGCTCCACCCGATGCTAGCAATGTTACTTTTGCGATAAAACGGACAACCTGAAATTAACAAACACAAAACTCTAAAAGTCATATACTACTAGCTAGTCATACAATAATGACCTTGACATCGTCACATCGTCAACTAGAATACCACTAACAAATATCGATTTCAAATGGAACCAATTTTGCAACCTGTTGAGTTTCTGTATTCAGTGTATCCACACCGTGACAATATATCTCATCATTACCCTGCAAAATCATCCGGTAGAATAGCTTAGTATAACTGTTTTTCAGATATCTTGGCATACCACTATTATGTCACTCATTAAAATGAACACGTTGATGCTCTAAGAATAAGTAAACACAATTTGGAACAGAGTATGCGCTAATGAGTTTGTCACACATACCATATTGTTTCCATGATGATTATTTTCACAAAACACAAGAATATGTTTCAACATAAAAGGAAAAATAAAGAAGATTTCACTGGGATTCACATCTTGAATCTCAAATATTTTTGGATTTTAAGCATATAGTCTGCTACAAAATTGAAGAACTATAATCAAAAACAGGGTACCGCAGACAATTTTGTATTATTTAACTTACAGTTGTAGCCTTCTGGAAACATGTTTTTTTGTATGATATCAACCATCACTCGAAGATTTAATAGAACCTAATTGATAGTTCACCCAAAAGAAGCACCCAAGAACTTTTATCCATGTGATACAAGCACAACTGCTTTCAGTAGGCTTCAAGACAATTGGACTTTAAAGTTGACTTTCTTCCTTCAAGAAATCATCCATATCTCAAATGCATCATCAATATCTAAACCTCGTCAACCAGTCAACCAAGGACCACATACAGAAAACAATTTCCTCCAAAGTAGCAAAAAATAGATTACAAATATTAGGTGTCTAGGGAAAATAATCTGGGATAAATATTGTAGGATCATTGAAACCGAAAATGTAAAAATATCACAAGCCTCCAAATCATAATATCATCGATCAATTGAACCTTTAGCCAGAGACCACGGCATATGCTCTTCAGATACCACTGGCTAATGCTTTTGATTAAGACATAATCTGATTTCAATTCATAAATAAAATTGAAGAAAATTTAGAGAACAACATATCATAGAGGAAAGAAGGACCGAAGGAAAGGAGGACCTGAGAAGTCAGTAGATCTATAGCGAAATGGTGGCCAAACAAATGTATGTTCAGCTCATCATCAACAGCCTTCAGCAATGCCCGTTCAATCTCTCGTCCAGTCATATCAGCAGCATGAACAATTCTGTTATGAGAATGCCCTCCTTCCCTGGCTAGATGCAATTTTCCATCATGTCCATGATCAAATGATGCACCAATAGCAATTAATTCTTTAACTCGATCTGGGCCCTCTGTGCACACTACCTGTAAAAGCCAGTTGTAGAGGTGTTAGCAGGTAATTGTATACCACCATTAAAGGAAATGCAACTCGAGGTCAATAAGATATACTAAATGCTAGGGAAGCGATTAATCAAATGACAATTCTCTTTAAGTACAAGAAGGTCCTCTGAGATCTTTGTAAGAAATTTACTAACTTGAATGCTACAGGATCACCATCTCTCTAACTTCATAGCATGCAAAATAAGCAAAGACATTTTCAATCTCTTTATTTCATAGTTCTGCTTCTGTCTTTTTATCCACTGGATTACCATAACAACATAATCACTCCCCAAAAGAGAAGGTGGCACAATCAACAAAAGCGTAGCAAGTCATTTAAAGAGAGCTTGAGAGCAAAAATAGTCCAAGCTATATCCGTAATATGATATGCATATTTCGAAAGAGACTGTCAAACTTGAATGCTACAGGATCACCATCTCTCTAACTTCATAGCATGCAAAATAAGCAAAGACATTTTCAATCTCTGTATTTCATAGTTCTGCTTCTGTCTTTTTATCCACTGGATTACCATAACAACATAATCACTCCCCAAAAGAGAAGGTGGCACAATCAACAAAAGCGTAGCAAGTCATTTAAAGAGAGCTTGAGAGCAAAAATAGTCCAAGCTATATCCGTAATATGATATGCATATTTCGAAAGAGACTGTCAAACCGAAACACAAGGAAGCTTACCCTGACTGTTTCTTCATCACAGAGATAAGCCCCTGCAACAATAGTGTCTTGCATGTGACTCTCTACCGAATCTGAAGGGCACAAAACAGCACTTACTCCACCCTGAGCATAATTTGTGTTGCTCTCATGGGGCTCTGCCTTAGTAATTACGGCAACAGATCCATGTTTTGAAACCTCTAGAGCATACCTTAGCCCAGCGACACCACTGCCAACGACTACAAAATCAAAATACTTTGTATTGCTATTGTCGTCTTGCAAGCACAAAATTCTAGCACTCCTAGCGGCAGAGATGCTCTTTGGCACCGGCGCACGGACAGAACGAAATACTGCACCATGTGCAGCACTGGAAATTGCACATAACCTGGTACAGAAGGCACTATAAGTTACTAGAGTAAAACAGATCACTTAAAAATCCGATTTTGGAATTTTTTTTAAAAAAAGCTACAATATATTCAATCAGCAAAAAGTTGACAGTATGATCGTTGTTTCCACCGTTGATGACACAACCGATGTCAGATCAACTATAAAATACAGGAAACTTAAGGCACCGGAAGAGGAAACTGTTAAAACTTATAATCACAATGCAAATGACATACCTGGTAACATCGGTTAAGAAACCGGTCTTGAAAACTAAACTAGAAAGTCCGGCAGCATGTTGATGCTGTTTCTTGATATGCAAGTTCCATCCGCATTGCAAGTTGGCACTCCCATCGAAGAGACTGATCGCCATCTATATCGGTGCTAGGAGACAAAGAAAAATAAATCAGACAAAACTCATATATCTAAATTAAAGTGAATATATATTTTTGCGAGTGAGAACAACCAGATTGCTTAACAAGGCTGACAGACAGATCTATATGGAACGTCAGATTAAGATTAATTAAATCGGCACTATGGAACTTCCGAACATAATCTTTTTAGATCTGTAATTTTCTAACCAAAAACACACAAAACTACAGTAAAAATGAAGGGGAAAAAACTTATAGTGATCTGGAAACATGAAATCTTCTCTTCTTTTTAACCTCTGTGTATAAAAATGATAAAACGGATTAGGTTTTCAGGTACAACTTCGACAATACTTTCGAGTTTAAGATTGGCAGCTGATAGAAAAACGAGAGTGGCGACAAAAAGCGGAAAGCTGACGACGCAAGAACAGAATTTCAGTTTAAGAAAGAACAAACAAGCTTGCAAACGCAAGAAACTTGCTTAAAACTCACAACTTTACGAGAGAAAAATGATCGATCTCGATATGGAAACTGAACTTCACAATCGAGGACACATCCCGGACGCAGTTCGACACACGATCCCAAAGAAACGATCCAACCTTTACAAGACCAAAGGGCTCACCTTTTCCACGCGTTCCGGTCCTCCTGGCCGGAACTCGCAACGCTTCGCTGAACCCCAGAAGACAAGGTCGGCAAACGGAAGCGACACGGGGCGGAAAGAATGATATGGAATGGGAAGAAACGTAACGTAATATTGATTCTTTTTGGGGCCCCCCTCTCTCTGTGATCGTGGAATTGTGTGGCGATCCAAAAGGGATAGATTTATTTATGCCAAAGAAAGGAAGAAGAAGTGGAAATCGCAAGAGAGAGGAGACGAGACTGACTTGGTCGATGGTGGTCGAGGCGCCACATCTTCTACGAAGGTTCGCCCTATCACGCCCACTTTATCTTTTTAAATTCATTCCAATTCCTTTTTATTGTTTTCATTTTTTTTTTATTTATGGAGCGTGTATTATCTTTATTTTCTCTTTTATACAAACATATATATATATATATATGAAATTACCACATTTTCTTATTGGTCGTCGTTACTAGAAAGGTAGGAGTCCACTTGCAAGTGTGGGCCCGCCACGGCGGTCCAATCAATGAAAAAGCATAGTCCAGTTGGGGAGAGAGTCCAACTGACTCGCGGTCAAAGTAGTTGTTGGGAAAGAGTGATGCAAGCCAACCATAAACGAAAGGCTCTTAACTTTGGTTAGTGGTCGTCGTCACAAAATTATAAACGTATATTTAAATTTTCTTCGTATATGATAAATACCATATGATACGATATATTTTTGGCCCCAAAGACACGTCAGGTCAGAATCCATACTAAGGTACTGCTTGACCTCGAGAGCCCCGAGACGATGCCCCCCAAAACACGCCAAGTCAGAATTCGTACTATGGCACTGCTCGACCTCGGGAACCCCGAGACGATGTCGGTCCCAAGACACGCCAAGTCAGAATCCGTACTAAGGCACTGCTCGACACGTCCACCACTCCAACTTGCGTACGACCGACCCGCGTATAGTAATATAAAGACCTATAGCTAGCATTTGGCCGAGGGGGAGGAAAAAAAGGTGGAAAAATCAATTGATCACTCCACTGACTTGCTCGTCGGAGGGGCCTCGTCGGGTGATCCCAACAAGGGTCATTTTTGTAGGAAAATGCGGTCACCTCACGAATGCGAGCTACCAACCACCCGGGAATCGCCATCCAGTACACGAAGGAGAGCAGTCAATCAACCCGGATCCCGACCAATGCCAACCAGCACTCCTTCTAGAGGGCACAGCCACCTCACGAAGACGAGCTACCAACCACCATGGAATCGCCATCCAGTGCACGAATGAGAGTAGCCAATCGACCCGGATCCCGACCAACGCCAACCTCCGCTCCTTCCCGAGGGCGCAACCACCTCATGAAGACGAGCTGCCAACTATCCCGGAGAAGGAGAGACGCAACTCAGCATACACGACGCTTGGATCGACATACCAAGGAACGTTGATCAACACCCCGTCGTGAGGGTCCGATCAAACTCGGCATCCAGCTCAACCGACAGAAGACTACCGACATCGACCCGTGGACCAGGCCGTGCTGACTCACTAGCCACGACACATTTATTCACTAACACCATCTTTAATTTAATTTATTTAATTAAAAAGGGTGTAATTTTTAGGTTCTGAATGGTGGGTATATATGCTTATGAAGATTGATGATTTTGGGATAATTATAAACAGCCAGAATCCCTTACTTGTGTTCAGATAATGCGGATATTGATACTTCTTACAACTCTACGTTCGTACGTAATTGGATCATCGTCTAGAAATGGAGTTTATTGGATCGGATCCTCATTTCTTATTGAATCCCGACTATTATTGTTTGTCTATGTAGAATAGACTTAGATGACGTGAGTATTGCATACGGACGTAAGGCTCGCTGAAACCTCACATACCTGGACACGTCACACAAGATGCCAACTCGACTCATGCTTGTTTGTAGGATGACAATGCACGAATAGGATTTATGTTAATACTCATGAGCTTGAAAACCAACGAAATAAAATTTACAATTAGCTTTGGATGAACAAAGATCGAATTCCTAATATGCATGGATTAAAAAAATAATTATTTTCGATCCAGTATATTATAGTAAGACAGATATTTATTTATTATAAAATTTTAAAACTTTTCAATACTTTGTTTCTTGTGTATAAACATCATTTTAATATATTAGACTAAAATGTTTTTACCATGCGACCAATTGTTTTTTCCTGTACTTCAACTAACATATTAACTCATATTTCTTTATGTTTGAATTCATGGGAACTATTTTCCACTAATTATAGGTTAAAAAATAATATATATATATATATATATATATAGATATATATATATATATATATATATATATATATATATTTATCTTGATTTTTTATTTTCTTAAAGATAAAATTACTCATAGCCTACGTCCATCCCTCCGCTCATTATACCATGCTAAAGCCCCTTTACGTCGGGGCCAACCCCACCCCTGTGAAGCTCCCATAGGGAGGTTTTGGAGGTATGTGAGGGGATGAGGTTAGCTCTCGTCTCCTTATAATTATCTGTGACAGCTATAGGCTCACCTTTCATTCCTCTGACTTCTTACTACTTTCATCCCATGATCTCAAACCACTAGTGGCCATCTTATTTACCCTCATTCATGTTTTCTATTATTGGAGGAGGGGTAATAAAGAAAATAATAAGAAAAATAGTTAGCACTCAGGATAGACGCTTCATTAGAACAAGGTTGGGAGCTTATATAGAAGAGCCTCACGAATGGAGATGATGGTCATGAGAAAAGGTAGAGGTAACAAGGACAACAATAAAAGCCTCAGAGTGGTGGAGGCAACTTACAATACAACTGTGAAAAGGCGAGGGGAACCACGATTAGATGGAGATAACGATTGACGAGACGAAGGTTAGAGATAATTTATCTTTAAGAACAAATATTCTAAGAAAATAATATAAAAAGGGGACATTCGATAGGTAAAAGTGAAAACTTAGGATTTTTTCAGAGAACTTATAAAAAATATTACTATTAGCAATCCCTAAAAAAAATAAAATTATATTTTATTATTTATAATTATTTATTTATCAATCATATCTTTATTCTTATCACTCTATTATTTCGTCCATTGAAATTGTAGCTCCATCGATGTTACTCTTTATCACTCTACCATATGAATAGGAATCTTGACAAAAAAAAAAAAACAATTGATGTGAAATGTAATCCTAATTTGCCCCATGTAATATAATAATCCTCTCACACAAATAATAAAAAATTGTTATTCGGAAGAGATGTCTAAATATATCGAAACCATAAATACCGGAATAAATTAAATATGATATATTGACACCCAGGATTACAGGCAAGCAACAAAATAACGAGATAAATATCACATTCCAGGAAGGCCATACAAAATCTTCCATTAATCAGAATCAATGACATTACGAGATGTCAAAGAAAGTTATTAGGAGTCGAAATTAATTTAGTGTGATCTAAATTATCATTCGAAATAACAAAATGGTATTTATGAAATTTGAGAGTCGAAGGATGGTTTTTAGGGATCTTCGCAACTTTCCTATATTTTTATTGCGACGCGTGCGTCGGTGTTCGCATCACCAAAAGCCAATTTCCCTGACATCTCATGGCAGTCTGAAGTATACATCAATATATCTTATCCTTCGCCTCCCTTTAGTCGTCTATTTCTCGTGTGGTCGCTGAAGACCACCCCAAACGCCGACGCGAGCAGACGTCCACACCGGCCATGGCGAACCAATCCCCAACTCCTTCGCCCCCTTCCGTCGAGGGTTCTCCAAATCCGGGTAGTAACTCGCGCTTCCGACATCGATTCTTCCCTTCTTTTTAAATTTCCTCCCGTTCTCTTTTACTTCCATTTTATTGGTGATCGGAATATTGCTCAGTTGATGCGAACATCAATCGGCCACCGACAGATTAAGTACGGATTTTTGGCGATTATGTTGCTGGATTTGATTGGCGGCTCTTATATTAGTGGATGGTTGGGGGACCGTCTTCTATGATTAGGTTCTTCGGAAGTTATTTTTTGTGGGATTCAAATGGTTTAATTGATAGTTCGAGACGTGAACTTGGCCTTTGGATGATGTATCGTTGCTAACTTTTCGCCGATTCCGATTCCGAGTTCAGGAGAAAGAATTTAAGTTTGTTAGGGCTAGGGGAAAACTATCGGTTATATGGGGTTAAAGGTCGAAGATTTTTCTGATTGACTGAACCCTTTGGCATAGTAGGTTTAGATCGAAGGTTTTTGGGTTTTTATGGGTCGACACCAAACAATTGGGACATTATGGATTCTTCTCGCTGTTGATACTGTTGTATCTTTTCACCAGCATAGGCTGTCTAACCAGCAAAAAAGTCAGATATCAGCAGCAGGGACTATTTCTTGACAAATTTCCCATTCTTTGGATCAGCACGAAGGAAATTGGGAAATGGAAAGATTTGCTTCGTTTCGAAGTCACAACTCCCATGAACTGATAAACAAAACCCTCAGATATTGTATAAGTATTTATATTGTAGTATGTTACATACGTGTCACGTCCTTTGTGTCTGTGTTTATGATTATGCATTTTATATGATAGACACATTTTGCTATCAAAACATATGATGATGCGTTAGGTGGTCTTCCTTGTTATGTTGTTGTAACATTGGTGTGCTATACACCTTTTGGTTGTTGGTGATCCACATAGCACAACAACTATTTTCTTTCACCGCATGTGGAAGATGCATATCTTGGTGGATAGCATGATTCCTGAGTTTGGCGTATATTCTACTTGCAGGTTCTGAGACAGAAAAACTAATTGGTGGGGATGGGAGTGATGCCAAGATGGATGCTGCTAATGAATTCTCAGGAAAGCCATTGTTGAGGGAAGACCAAGTGCAAAATGCTGTTAAGTTTCTATCACACCCAAAAGTTAGGAGTTCTCCAGTTGTCCACCGGCGTTCTTTTCTTGAAAAGAAAGGCCTAACGAAGGAGGAAATCGATGAAGCCTTTCGTCGTGTGCCTGTAAGAAATTTAAAATATGCATATGTATATCAATTGACAATGACATTGCACTTTCACTTGTGCCATTTTTTTATGACTTTGGCTCTTCTTTTTGTTGTTCTAATGCAAAAGTTGGATGCTTCGTGTGTATTTCAGGACCCACCTTCAAATGCTGCAACCGGTGAAGCTTACACTACAGGTCCTGGTAATATATCTTGGCAGCAGCCTTTTGACATTAACTGTTTCTTTCTGCCCAGGCAATGGATTTTCGAAATTCTTGCCTATCAAGCTTTTGTTTTGTGTCTGATATTTGTTTTCCAACCCAATTGCCTTTTGTTTTATCCACTTTTGGACAGCTGAATTTATCCAACTTTCTATTCTTCATTTGGTTGATTTGTTTTACCTTAGTACCCATGATACTTCAACGGTGATTTTCTTTTTAAATGCACCTTATAGTTCAAATCTATATAACAGCAACATCCGATCTGTTGTTCTAGATAGTTGTTGTAATGGAATTAATTATTCCTAGAAGATTATTAAGAGGCAGAAGGTCATCAATTTGACAATTAAAGCTTTAGGATGGATGATAATATACAGAATAGGATTTAGAGGACACAAGTTAAATCAAGCTGCTGCCTTAAATCCATCTAATGTGAAATTGTGATTTTTTTTTTTGAAGATGGAGCAATAATTCATTGTCTTCTGGACTTGCTAAAATGATCATGTTTCTTCCGTTGTGGGGCTACGATTATGCTTACTTGAATATTTGACTTGCAGTGAAGAGTATATCATACACAGTTTCAAAGTTCTATCTTCCAAGAGCTAACCACTATATCTACATCTATGGGAATAACATATCTTTCTTTGTTTAACTAACTAACAAGGCATATCAAATTGTATTAGTATTTCTAATATAATCTAGGCTTTCCATTAAGAAATTGGGCAGCCTTTGCAATCAATCTCTACATTTCTCGTAAAGCTTGTTGTTACCTTGTATATTGGAGAGAATCCATTTTTCTTAACTCCATAATATGTCAATATCAGGCTACTTCCTATATCTTCCCACCTTAGTAATCAGTGTTTGATGTGCAATGAGTGCAACAGCTATGCAGCAGAAATCATCCACCACCATGCAGCACCAAGATCTGGTACAAACTCCTCAACCAGCAGCTGCTCCTGCCAACATAGTTTCCGTGGCTCCAACCCAGCAGCTGCCAAAGTTTCGTTGGTCTCATGCACTTCTTGCAGCAGGGGTTCTTGCTTCTTCAGGGGTTGGTTCTGCTCTTCTTTTCAAGGTACTTCTGGTCCTTTTCCATACCTTGCGGACTTTGATGATTGTGCAAAATGTTAACCTATTTGTTCTTAACTTTATACATTCATGATTTCGTTAGGATATAGCCTGATACAGTTTCTCTTCTTGCATATCTATTTTGCAGAAAATGGTTGTGCCTAGGTTGAAAGCATGGATCAGGAAGGTTGTAGAAGAAGAGAGTGAATCTGGGGAGGATAAGCCGGACTCAAAACTGGCTGAAGAAGCAGCAGAAGCTGCAAAAACAGCTGCCGCAGCTGCTGCCGCTGTTGCTAAAGCAAGTCAAGAATTGCTAGGCACAAAAAGTGAAGGTAGATTTATATTCTTTTTCACATAATAATAATTGTTGGTTTCTTGCCATCTGTAATTTGTTTTTGTTTTTTTATTGGTTTTTTTCATCAGAGAGAAAGTATTTTGAGGCTTTCATGGGCGCACTAGATGTTCAAGTTAAGGAGATGAAATCCATGGGTGATGCTATTCGTAGATTGGAAAGCAGAAGGGATGAATACAAGCTGATTCAAGAAAATATCCATTCTACAAATGGGAATGGTAAGTTGATCAAATGGACGCCCTCAATCTCATCTTTCTTGATGATATCTTGCCCATGTTGAATGGCCTCAATGTGGGTCATGACATGCATGACTTTGTTATCTCAAACTAATAATTGCCGAGTCATTTTTGGTCATATTTCATTAGTATGTTCATCTATAGATAATTTCATGTGGTTACTTAAGTGTATTTGTTTATCATGGCTTTAAGATACTAATCTTAATTGCAAATAAGAGGCAACACGCATTTGCTGAAAAGATAGTATGTGTCTAGCATGACCTTGTAAATCAACAACAGGTATGCCAGCCATGATAAATTCGTGAACCTGGTAAATTTATTTTCTTGCGAAGATTGTAATATATGAATCAACCATCATATAGAAAGGTAACGAATATTTGTTATTGCTACTCGTTATGCATCTAATTTAGATAATAGATACTGATGAATACAGTGAACTGGATTTGATCTGTTCTAGTGCCTGACTCAAAGCTGCTCATGTCCGTCCTTTGTTCAGGCTCAGTTAACAATGCATGGAGAACTTCTCAACATGTTAAATTTGGTGACACATCAAATACAAACTTTGGAGAAGGTTATTATTTATGACTTTTCCCTTAAGAATTTGTTCCTTAGTCATGTCATTTTATCTCATTCGTGCCTTTTGACAGTGAGGTCTCAATCATCACCTGCATTTATGGATTCTTTGTATGTACCCAATCACAACTCATACACTGAGGTATGTGACTTTATCATGATTGCAATCATAATGTAACTGCAAGGAGGTTCACTTTTAAAAGCTTCTTTTCACTGCCATTTATGTTAGGATCTTTAGATTTATCTGGGATTTTATCAATTTATGATATATTTATTATGCATTCTCTTGGGATAAGATTGATAGCTCATAGCTTTTAGTAATATGGTGCAGATATCTGTGAGCCAATATAAATAGATAAGTGATAACAGTATGAACCAGTTCTTATTTTTTCCTTTTAAACTTTTTATCACAATAAGTGATAAATGGATTATTTTTATTATAATTTTGTCATTTTAAGGATTTTTCTAATGATGATGAATGTTGTTTCCGCTTTAGGTGTGTAAGACTACCATGGTAAAACCTTGACTGACAATTCTTTGCTACCAAAACATACTGGTACTTCAGACAAAGAGGTGCAACCGAGCCTGGTTTTGCTGAGTTGGAGGTCAACTTTGACCCATGACAGGTTGGGTCTGGTTGTGGAGGGTTAGGCTGTGAGTTTTACCAGATAAAAAATATGAGGGTAAATAAATTTGGTAATAAACAGAACTTGAAGTTACAGATAGCATAATCACATATTGCTAAATTGGTTAGGTTTGAGTTTGTCAGTCTAAATTTGGTTGAATTGGGTTGTGTTGTGGGTCAATCCTAATCAATCCTGAGATAATGCTGGGTTGAGATTGCCCAACCCTAGTTTCACAAAACCCAGTCTGATGATTGGATTGGTTTAAACCCAACCAAGCTGCCGCCCTGTTTTGACATAATATCTTTTTGATTTTAGTCTTGTCTTATTACCTCAGCCTCATCTTTTCCGTGTGGATATTTGCATTTAATTTAAATTATATTGCACGTGAAATAACTTTTATTTTTGCCATTAATTAATTATTTAGAACAATCTCTGTACGCTGTTGAATTTAAATACTTATTTTGTAGTGAATGGCTAGGGAATTATGAGCAGAGAAACCTCCCATGGTTTATCTTCTTTTATAGTACAACATCATGGAATGCGTTTAGTTACAAGTTATCATCCATTGGTTTGGGGCATTTTATTAATGATAAGAAACCAATATAATTTCTTCCAATGCAGACCAAAACTTTGTCTAGAAACTGACCTGTCAATCTTCTAGAATGATAATTTTTTTACCATCTTAGGTGTTGCTTTTATGGTTCTCCACGGTTGACGATCTTGTGTAAATTCCTATGTCATACCTTTTGACCGTATCAGTATTGTTCGTTCTTATTGGATGTGTGTTATATGTGGTTTCCTGTGCTGCTCCTTTTGATCTTTATGTTTATTGATGTCCTGGGCTTAACAGCCATGGCAAGCTGCTCAGCACTCTCAGCAAAGACCCAGCTATTCTCAGCAGTCTCATACCAGCGACGAAAGGTTGGGTTCAAAAACACTAGAGAGCTATGGTCCCTCTTCTGGGATGACAGGAAATCATTATGATACTCCAGAGCCTCAAGGGGAGGAGAGGAAGCAGTTCGATGAAAGGCCCCAGCAGCGGGGATGGGTACCACCGCAGCCACCAGCTGTTGTTTTGCCAGAAGCTGCAGATGCCATTCGACGCCCAAAACCACCTGTTCAGAAGCAGCAATCTGGGGATGAACAGTCGGTTGCAAGCTCTGATGATGGAAAAGAAAGGGAAATGAGAACTGATTCCGTTGCCGAGGCAGAGAACTCAGGTAGCATGGCTTTAAGTACCAGTCAGATTGAAATAGAAGAAGAAAAGTCAGCGGGCATTGAGATCAACTGAAATGTCAGATCTCGGAAAAAAAAAGATAGAACATATGAGGGAAAATAAAATATTGGTGATGATTAGTTAAAATCCTCATTCCTCATCCATTGCATGGCGCTAAGCTGGTCTAAGCTCATATCATTTCAGTTTTAGAATGAATCTTGGGGATGTATCAACACTCAGATA